TTGCCTGGTGTAGTGCAAATACTAAATTTGAACTGCCTTTTTGGTATGAAAATACTAATGTTCCAGAAAGGATTCAAGCTACCTTTCTTCCCCGTCCTTTTTCCCAGTTTCTAGTGTTAGGTTTGTGGTAGTGCCTAATCAAGAAGGCTTGCAAACTGAATCCATATTAATAAAATAAAGCTACATGAGTAGTGTTCCCTCAAGAAACCCAAATAAAAAAAAACTAAACCAGAATGAAAGAAGCTTAGCTGCCTAACTTGTGAGACAACCCAGACATGAACCTCGTGTCTTGGTGCTTCAGTTATCTGGGTCTTTCTTGCCTGTTCTGAATGTGGGATTTGTGATATTTTTCCACTGCAGATACATCAGGTCATAGGGCAGGAAGAGGGGAGCAAGGAGCCTTGTTTGGAAATTGTTTTGGTTTTGTTTGTATTAAAGTAGTGTCACCTAGAGGCTCCGGCCAAGAATACAGGCAAGGGGTGCTGAGCACCCTGAGCACACATCTGCCCAGAGGCAGAGCAAGGTGCAGGCACAGGTTGGCAGGCAGGAACAAATCAGCAGCCCCAGTTTTGGGTTGTATTTTGCCAGATCTGATTTTTGGCCATGTGTTATTGCAAAGGCATGTTTGGCCTCTGTCATTCTCTGACACCTGACACCTTGTCATGAGATGCTCTCCTCTCAAGGAGTCCATGGGTGACAAAAGAAGATGTGGGAGAAATGACAGTCAGTGTTCCAGTGGCAATTACCTGCTCATCTTGGTGTCTCAGCTGAGAAAGTTAAAGGTTTGTGTGAATTCTGTGTGTGTCAGTTACCCTTCAGGTGGGATGGCCACGCTTTAGAGATGTTAGAGACCCCTGCAAAACCGCAAAGGTGGCTTGGAGGGGAAGTAACAGAAAGTAGCCATTGAAGGAGCAGTTGTGGGAAATTTGATTGTCAGTGGTTGGGCTGAAAAGGATGTTTTGGAAAGTCAGCATCTGGTGCAGTATTTGGTAGATTTACGGTGTTTGAAACAGAGGTAGATGCTTTATGAAGGTAGTGTTTTAGACACCTGGCCGTCTCAACAAGTGATGTGGAAAATCACCAGGAATGTGTAATTCCAGTTTTCACTCTCCTCCACAATATGTAAAGTGCCAATGCTCTAGGGCTGCATGCTTCACTAAACCATCTGAATCTTTCCTTCTTCAAGGAATGAAGACATGTAAACAGAGTATTGGATACATATACAATTGCTTTAGTGACAACAGAAACATATTTAAAACACAGCAAATAATGCCACAAATCATGTATACAGAATTCATTTGTATTAATTTATTCTACAAAGGTCATTTGTTGTTAAGCAATTTTTATTTGTATTAACTATCAGTCTCTGTCTGACATGAAGTCTGTAACTTTTCCTAGACACTGGATATCTGTCTAGTACTGGGATTAAGAGAAGCTTTTTAGACCTAACTACCAGTGTATTTCTTCAACATGAGTGTGATATTGCTGGTGGGTTCAGTACATTTGCCAGTAGCTAAGAAATCCTTCCTCATTGCTTCATAGCAGTTTTGCTACTTCAGAGTAGTGAAACATTACTTTGAGAAGTAATTTCCCTCCATCTCTTCCTCTCTGCTTCCTCTGCTGTTTGGCCTTTAATACTGACCAGTAGTATGTATAGGTTCATTAGCACTATAGTAAATTTAGTCAATACTCTTTTAGTGGGCTCCAGCTGAGTCCAAACTGACTCACTGCCCTCCAGGGTGCAGTGAGAGACTTAATTACCCTTGTACAGTTCAACAGGAACAATGTCATGGGCAGCATTTCGCTTTGGCTGAAGAGGTTGAAGTTTCATTCTTTATTGGCTGCCATTTTCAAGTTTTAAGAAGGGGATTTCAGGATAATTCACAGTTCTGTATAATAATGGGGGAAAACCACTGCTCTTTGCAAATGAGAATTGGATTGGTCACGTTTCATTACAGCACTTACATGGATTTTCCTTTGATGGTGGGAATATTCCTTTGGGTAGTTTTAAGGACAGAAATGGAACTTGAAAGAGCAGAGTGGAGGGACAAGTAATCCTGTAGTTGAATGGCATGAGTTTCAGCATCTCTTACTGCTTGAAACCAAGGAAGACTTCATGTGATGGAGAAAAGGTGGGTATTGTATCCAGTGTGGCAAAAGCCATACTCAGACATGCATGTAACTGGTGATGGGCCAGAGTAAATGCTGGGGAATGCAAACCAGGAGATTGCCTCGGATTTCTCATGGGGTGACTAAGGTGAAACTTGAGGGATGAGGTTTAGGACAGTGAGTGGATATTAGGCTATTTAAGTTATTGTTCTGCAAGGCACATCTATCACTATTTCAGTGATGCTATAATTTCTGTTGTTTAATATGGTTTGAGATTTAACACTATCCAACCTGTGTTGGATAATGTGGTAGTCATGTGGTTCAACGTGCACAATGAATATTTCTCAACAAATCTATAGCTGGTCTCTTTTTCTGGCTTTTTTGTGTGGTGCTGGAGGCTTTATTATTTGTCAACAATATGGTTTCTTGAGGTGTCACCCATTTTAACTGTAATACAGTAAAAATTGAGTGACTTACTCTGTATTTATAATTAGGATGAAGTGATTATTTAGTGTTTGAGAACCCAGTGTAGCCTTCCACAAAACAAATGATCTGACTCTACCACTGAAAACTATGGAGGAATGATACATGAAATCCCTTCTGCATACTGTAAAGGAGAGGAATGGGTAAGAGGAACATGCTTAGGAGGCAAAGAAAGTGAAGTAATGATTACAACTTCTTAACAGCAGGCTGAAGCATCACTTGCTCAAAGTTGGAGTGTGTTTTACAAACTGTACGGCATATTTGCATTAGAAGAATCTTTAGTGACTCTGTGGTTTGATTCCTGCCTGTCATTACCCTTCTTATTTACTCATACACTTGCAAAATATTTGCCTTGCTCCTCAGGTTTTATTACCTGTCCACAGCACATCAGTGGGGAATAGAGAGGAATGTCTGCAGTGAGTTCTTTTCACTGCTTATGTCATGGAGAGAGCTTCTTTGTAGTCACTGAAGTACATGAACACTCATATGTGCCATAAATATCCAAACAAATCACAGAGCAGACATCATCAGAAACAGTCAGAGAAGGAAGTAAAGTAGGAGGCATCATTCAGAGCAGGATAAAAGAGGAAATCTTAATAGCAGTCACAAATTCTGGGTTAGTCATCATTTGTCTCCATGCTGGTGGGGGGACTTGCATTGCGTCACTTGCAAATTATTAGTCACTGGAGCCATTGTCTGAGCCTCTGAGTGAGAGGGGCAAGATTCTAAGAGAAAATATTTTAAAGAAACATGAGCTAGCAGGACTTAGTGGTTGCAAGGTGTTCAGTATGCCCTTATTCACACACTGGTTTATATGGATGCTGTCAATGTAAAGATGACATTGTGAGGCATCTTACAGAGATTAGTATTTACCATTAATTTTCTCCAATTATTTGTTAGGGGAAATTATTCTTTAATTAAAATTTTTGTGTGATTTTATTGCTTAATTGCATATGGATACTTTGAAGCAAATAGGTTAGTTCAAATTCACAGTTATGTTCTAATACATTGCTGGTGTGCTGGCAGAGCATTGTGGAATTAGTTTGAAATTTCCTAGCTGTTTGTGAAACATATTCACTGCTTCATATACACAGTTTCTGCTGTTATTACTTTATTTTTTACTTGGGACAGAGGCAGCTTTTATCACACACACACACTTTGTGCAGAGCAATTCCTGTTCTTAAATGATTCACGCTTGGCATTATGAGCAGGCTAAAGAATGAACACGGAGGTAGTCCTTGACTCTGGCTCACAGCACAAAAGGAAGGAGTGGTCCAAGCCTGGAGCCTTGCCTGGGGTCACGGGAGAGTGAGCAGGCTTTGAAGCACATTGATAGAGTGCATGTAGAGCCTGTAGAGAGTCTTTAGGCATGCTAGCCCTGGACAGAATTTTTGGTGATAGCTGGTAGTCAAGACAAAAATGCAGTTCTTGATGTAAAATACAAATCAATGGTGTTTGAAAATGAAGGAGCAATGTGTATCTGTTAAATGGTATTTATATATAAATATCTGGACGAGGAAGGATCACCTGAGTGTATGTATATATATATATATATATGCAAATTGAAATCTAATTTACAAGTTAATAGTATAATAATGAGTAAATTTCAAATAGAATGTATTTTATGGTTATAGGGTTAATAGTTACTTTCACTGGATTTAAGATATTTCATTAATTACGCTAAGTGCGTACCTATCCTGGGCTCATTCTGAAACCACCAATGCTTTTGTATGAAAAGAACTGTAAGAAATGTTTGTTTGTATCTGTGGACAAAGCTAATGGAAAAACCCAATCCTCTCATCCACATATTTATCTGAAAGATGTGTTGTATATCTGCAGTTGATTTTCTAGAATGCTGATTAGCTAATACCGTTTTTGGCATGCAGCTTATCCATCGTGTGGGAGAACACTATCTGAATTTCAATTTACTTTTCAAAATGATGTTGAACTGCTATTGCTTTAAAGGCTTTTCTGGCCATTTGGGGACCCACTGCAGGCAGTGGAGCTGCAGTCTAGTCTCAAAATCTAATTGAATTGATATAAGGCAGCTGAAGGAGTGATAGTTCAAGAGTTTGAGATGAATTGCAAAAAAATACTTGCTTCTGAGTAAGTTAGTGTCCTTGTTTGAAACTCTGCCCCTGAATTTACTTGGACTTTCACTGCTAACAGACCTTTTCATGGTCAAAGCCCTATGTTTCAGTGTAGTTAAGGACTTCATTTATTTTATGTGGTTTGGTACAATCACATCACTATTGAAGAAACTTCATGCCTCTGAGAATAATAAGCTAATAGTGGAGGAAGAGTGGAGAGTTAAGGTAATGGTAGATGTTAATTCCTTTGTCACCACCAGCAATTTGCCACAATTTAAACTTCTGAAATCTCACCCTCCTGAACATTTGTTTTTGCAGTGATGGGTCTTTCCCTTATGATTCTGTTCCCTGGCAACAAAATACCAACCAGCCTCCAGGCTCTTTGTCAGTGGTCACCACAGTATGGGGTGTGACTAACACCTCTCAAAGCCAGGTAAGCTTCATTTTTATGCCTCCTTCCCTCTAGATATGCATTTCTGCTGATGTTTGTAAAATGGAAGGTATTTTGGAAAATCCTCTTGGGATCAATAGCAATGTGTCTTTTCTTTGTTGTATACAATGCATTATTTTCCCAGTCATGTCCTCTTTGGTGGCATTGAACAAGAGGTGTCTGAGAGCTTGAGTCAGTCACTCCTTTGGCTGCATGCAAATGTCAGGCTTGGATTTACCTCATATTTTACACTGTGTGGTTTCAACACTAAGAGCATGGGATTGGGGTAATCCCAAACCTCTCGAGAATGCAGATTGAATGGGTTCTATTAAAAATGTTAACTAGATTCACCAAATGATAGTTAGTTGCTGATTTTACCTGGGGTTGTGTTGTACTTGTGGGCTGGTGAAATTCAATACCAAGTCTACCCCACACTGAGTTGCTAACTACCAATTTTAGGTTGTGTTCTTTCCAGTCTCTCCTGTTAGTGCTGTCTAACTTTGCAAAAATGTTTCACCATGCATTGCAGCACAAACATGGGCTCTTGGCTTCCAGGTGAGAGCCTTACTTCATGGATATTCGTTTGGTTCTCTCCACTCTTAACTCTCTTTTCCTTCTGTGTTTGTGTATTGGATTGTACTATACAAAAAGCAGCTTTTATGAAGAAGTTACCAATTATTTGTGATACTGTGCACTCCCAGGGATGTGGTACAAATTAAGCATGTGGACAGTCTGACCTTCGCTTACACCATAGGTGAAAATCTCAAAAAACACATCACCATCTTTAATGACTGCAAATGGTACATAAATCTAACCTGTCTTTTCTACTTCTTTCAAACCATTTGGTGTTAGATCCCATACAAAATTTTCTGAGGATTTTTTGTTATTATTTTTATTTTGGTAAAAAAAATTGAAAACAAAATTGTAATGGAATCAGCCATTTGAAAAAGAAATTATTCAGAGGCCAAGTCATAGAGATACTCATATGGCAGTTATGGTTATGGCAAAATCATTCTTCAATGAAACAAAAAGAGAAAACAGTTACAGGATCTATAATATGTTTTACTGTTGTTGATTTCTTTAACACTTTAAAAGAAAAGGTATCCAATCTGGGAGAGAAACCTTAAAAGAAAAGGTGTCCCATCTGGGAAAGAAATACCTGAATAAGCATGTTGGTGTACATATTGGCTAGAAAATGAAAATACAGTTTCTTTTACACTTAAAAAGACAAAAGGAAAGATATAAAAATACTCAGAGTTTTGTCTGTCATAAGAGTACTGTAATGTTCCTTGAACTCTTCGTGGTACTTCAGAGGAATGTGCAATAGAAGGACAAAATCTCTTGCATGAAGAAAGAAAATGCTTCTTCAGAGTCACTGCAAGGGAGCAGGGAAACTCTGGAATATGAAGCTTGGTTATAGATATTCAGAGCAGATTGAAATGAATGTCAGGATTTTGTGTAAGTCTTCGTGCTCTTGGGAAAGGAATGAGCTGGGCTCACCAATTACTTTTCTCCAATGCCTGAAGTTGTTGAGTTAGTCTTCTGCAAAAATCATGACCACTGAGTTTCTTCCCAAGTAGGAAACTTTTCAGGAAATCTTATGCAGGTGATCCATGAACAGCCACACGTAACATCTCCATGTAAATCATAGCAATTTGGGAAAAAAAGTCCTTTAAACAAGCAAAACAAGTATTTTTATACAGAGAACAGAAGACTCCTTTATAAGAAGCAATAAAAGCAATCAATAGACTTGTACACTGTTTAGAGTCAAGAATAAGTTAAGCTACTGAAATATGTCCTTTCACAGTTTTTCTATCTGTAGTACCCTTTGCATTGTGCCAGTGGGACTGACTGCTTCCAAGTTACTTCAAAGTCCTGCATCAAAAAACAAACCAACCCAACTAAACAAACAAAAAAGCTCTCACTCCCTATACCCCCTGACTCAAAAGAAAAGCTATGTCCTTTCTTGTAGTCAGATGAATGGCCACAGCATGGTTGTAGCAGGTCTTTCTCATAAACTTCTTTAATAAGCATATTAATTTGTGTTCTATCTAGTTGAAAATCTGCCATTTGTTTGGAAATGGCAAAAGTAGAAATCACCAGGAATGTGTTCCTAGACATCAATGAGGTCTGTGCTCATTAGAGTTCAGAGTACAGGTGGTTATGTTTTAATTTAATGACTGCAGCAAATCAACTTAATTTGCTTAAAGTAGTTCAAGGTACAGCCCCTTACTCTCATGTTCCTTCTTGCAGGTGCTGGGGAATCCAATGGCAAATGCTAACAACCCTATGAACCCAGCAGGAAATCCCATGGCTTCTGGGATGACAACCAGCAACCCTGGAATCAATTCTCCTCAGTTTGCTGGACAGCAGCAACAATTTTCAGCCAAGGCAGGCTCCACTCAGCCATACATACAGCAGGGCATGTATGGGCGACCCAATTATCCTGGAAGTGGAGGTTTTGGTGGCAGGTAAGATTTACTTCTCGGAGGTGGAAAATGGATGTAAATACTTGATTAAAGCTTGTTTTAGTGACCTAGCAGAAGTGTCATGGGCTTACTTTAATTATATACAGTCTCTGTTAACTGAAGCACACACTGCTTTTACTGCTTTGGAAATCAGCTACCCAAACTGCAAAGAAATTCGTCACAGTAAATGGGAATGGCTTAGGTCAATCAATTAGCTCTAATAAACCCTCAAAATAAAGTTTTAATTAAGAGAGATTGTTAAACAGACCACAGGCTTAGGAATGATTAACATTTAATAAGGCCAGGATGTGAAAGGTATTGATGGTATAATTTCTATGTGCATATGGAGGAATAAGCTTGAGTAGTGGACAGTTTCTTATGCAACAGAATATTTCAGCCCAAAAACTTAACCACAGCAGGAATTTGCAAAGAATTGGTAATGAAGATGTTTGTTAAAAAAGATGGTCGTGTTTTGTATTTATTTTGGGGAAATAAATGCTGTGTTAGTCATATAATCCAAAAGTAATAACCTGGCATTAGTTACATGTTGACTTTCTGTGTCTATACTTTGTAACAGGGATGGTGGGGGCACTTAACTGAAACCACTATTTATGGTCCCAGGGCAAAGGCTGCTGAAGAGACTGCTGCTGTTAGCATAGGCAGTCTAGTGTGAAGAATATAAGCTTGGGACTCGGAGAGAGAGAGAGAGTTTATCTCTTCCTTCATCTCTGCCACTGATCTAATGAGTGACCTTGACCAAGCCAAAAAGTTTTTTCAGCTTTGTATTAGCATCTCCAAAAGGGGCACAGTATATTGGCCCATAGTTATAAAGATATTTGATAACTTGAGGTGGGAAAGGCATGGTTTGGCTTAGCTTGGTTTATCTTAGAATCAATAGAAGAGATGGGCAGGAACTGCAGAGCACACAGTGTGGGATCCAGTGGAGTCGATTGCATTGGGTCTCTCCTGGCCTTTCTGCTAAGGTTCAGGGAGAAATGCTTTTATGATATCTTGAACACTTGCTATAATTCACCACTGAGGCAGATTAATGTGCTGTCTTGGAGGAAATTCACTGTTCCTGCTCCTGTGCATTTGTCCCTACGCTACTGAGGAGCAGAACATTTACCTTCAGGAGTTCAGCTCTACTTTGCAGGAGGCTACAGAGCTGCAAAGAAGTTCACTGCCCCCAAAATGACTGCTGGCAATGCTATGCAATCCCAGTGGCAGACCTATGACTATTGCACCTGGGCAGCAGGTGTAACATGTAGATGCAACCCCTATCTCCTGTACACACCTAATTATCTGGCCTGCTGGCTTTCATTAGTCATTGATACGTGCTTTTGGAACAGCTCCAGGTGAGGATCACACCAACATTCAATACAAAATCCACCAGGCACATCTTAATTCTCTCCTCCATTCTCTTCTTCCCTGTTAGTTACCCTGGAGGCCCAAATACCCCTGCAGGAATGGGGATTCCTCCCCACACGAGGCCACCAGCTGATTTCACCCAGCCAGCTGCTGCTGCTGCTGCTGCTGCAGTTGCAGCTGCAGCTGCTACAGCAACAGCTACAGCTACAGCCACTGTGGCAGCCCTTCAGGAAACACAGAATAAGGACATGAACCAGTATGGACCGGTAAGAGAGTAACCCTTATGTCTTCATACCTGCCTGATCTGGACCATTACAGGGAATTGGCTGTCCTCACTGTTGTCTTTCTTAGGGTGCCTACTGTATTTTTTTTTCTTTTTTTTTTTATTTTTTTGGTGCATGAGCATGGTTAGAAATGCTTATGAGACACTGCTGGAACGTGTGTATGTAGGTATGAGTCAGTCCCCATGTTTTTCCCAATAAAACTTGCCTAACTGTATTTTGCAGATTAGGGGTTTTCTCCTAAAAAAAAAAAATAAGGAAGATTTCTCAGTTACAGCTGCATCTGACATTATACATTATTGCTGCCTTTGCCAGCCCTCTAAATTTGAGTTCCTAGTGAAATGTTCTAGAATCTTTCAATAGGTTTTGTAGCTCTTGGACAATTGTTTATTTTCCTAACTGCAGGTGGTTATTTGGCTTATTTCCAATAAAACATGGAAACAACAATAGAAGAGAGGTTGGGTTTGTAATGATGTTGTCTATATAGGCCACTCTGTGAGATATGCATTTCTAGTGATTCATAACTTCTAGCATGTTATGATATCGTGAAATCAATTTTTCCTTAAAATAAACAAGGGCTTGATCAATTCAATACCATTTTACTTCTCTGAATTCTGAAGTATAAGAGTCCATATGCCAGGTGATGAAAAGCACAGAGTCTTAGAAACTGTATTGTTGTGCTCTATTTGCACAGCCAACATCCTAAGCTGTTACCTCACAGTACTAGACCAGCCAATTGAAACAATTTAATTTCTCACTTTAGTTTTACATCTGTCTTCCACTCTTATGCTTTTTACAATTCCAATTGGATTTTTATTATAAATAACTTCACCGCCCATCAAATGTTAGAGAACATTGAAGGAAAATGCGACATAAATCCTTCCCTTCTTCCCTTCCCCAAAAGCATGTTCAGCTCCCTCTTCCCATTTTATAAATGCATGTCGCATTTTATTCTTTTTTTTTTTTTCTTCTTCTTCCGTTGAAGGTTTGTTCCTCTTTCCAGATGGGTCCGACTCAGGCTTACAACAACCAGTTTATGAACCAGCCTGGTCCTCGTGGTCCTGCTTCTATGCCAGGCAACATGAACCCAGCAAGCATGGGAGCAGGAATGACACCTTCCAGCATGAGCGGGCCACCCATGGGCATGAACCAGCCTCGGCCTCCTGGAATGAGCCCCTTCAGCACCCATGGGCAGAGGATGCCTCAGCAGGCCTATCCAGGCCCACGCCCCCAGTCTTTGCCTATACAGGGCATAAAGAGACCATACCCAGGAGAGGTAATAAAATAAATGATCTTTTGTGGACACTGTTCCTTTGACTGCAAGTTGTAACGTACTGGATAATGTGTGGTGCACATCCCTCAAGATAGGTGCATCTTTGTTCCAGCCTTGGTAGAGTGAGCCATTAAAGTATTAGCTGGAGCAGCTCTTCTTTTTTAGCTTCTAAAGTATTCAGCTTGACCCTTGCTATATTAGTCCATATGAATGTCATTAAGTCCAAGAAAGGCCCCAAACCAGAATATAATTCTTAGATTCTTATGCTGACTTCATTGATCTTAAACAGGCATCACATGAGTGGAGTCTTTTAATGTGGCAACTTAGAAGAGACACTGAGGGTGAAATACTTCATTTAAGCCCAGGAGATATCTGATCTGTGTTTTCTTGGACGGTTTTATTTTTTAATGAAATACAAGACAGACATTGTACTGTAACGCCAGTAGTAATAGCAGTCATATTTTAGAGAAGAGTTGCTTTCCAGACTTTTTGAGTGTTGATTTTCATAGTCACTAAGATGCATATAAATAATGTTGAACTCAAATCCCTCTCTGTCAGCATTTATCTAATACCAGCTTCTGTGGAGTGGGATAAGGTCCCATGCTGCTATAGGAGATCTGAATGGCTTTATAGGCAAAATTGCATTGCCATTTACTTGTATTATGACAAAGCAAAACACTTAGGGTCAAATATTTAGATAAATTTATACAACTGTGTATGTAGATGTAGACAAATGAGCTTTTGGAATTTAAAAACACCAATGTGTTTTATTCTTCAAGTTAGTATGAATTGGGCAGTAGTCCAGCAGCTCCCAGCATCTATGTATGCCTAAATGTTTTTACAAATGTAGACATCACTTGGTAACTTCAGAGATAATTTCCTGGTGAAATTCTATAATCAGCTGAGACTTCAGCAACAGGTGTAGAGCTCTGAATATTGTGGTACTTCCCTGACAATAGTTATGGTAGTAAGAGTTATAGAAAATGCACAGCAAAGAGGACCGTGGCATGTAGAAAATAAAGAAAACATTTCTGCCTACTCTACAGAGCTACATTTCTTTCCTGCTCTGCAAACTGTTTTTTGTTCTAAATAAAAAAACTAATCAGAAATATAAAAGGGATGTGCTTTTGCAGGAGTTGTTTCTCTCAGGAGAAGTTTTTTACAAGTAAGTTAAGAAAATGCAAAATGTGGCTTGTTCATGATTTTTCAGATGTCATATCTTAAGGATGACTTTAAATCTATTTTTGCTGCTTCAGAATCGGGTTTTTCATTGTAAGTGAATATGTTCATATTTCCAACAAGTAATTTCTGAGCAGTGCCATAAATGTTGCATGTTTGCTGGGCTGGAATTTTGCAGATGATGTTTGCCTATTGTTTATTGTAGGGTTCATTTATGGAAATATCATTAAGTTTATTTTTCAAATTGACATCCCATTACCTTTGGAGTTCCAATTTTCATTACTTCAATTCTGAAACCACAGTGCAGGCTTAGCTAGCACTTGCAGAGTGCTTAGGACTATTAGTTGTTAAAGTATTGCTGAACGCTCTGGCAGGAGGCCAGCAGAACAGTTTGGTTGAAAAGGCAGGTGGGGACAGCACATTTTCTGTGCTCTTGTCCCTTCCAGGGTTTATTTATTTATTTATTTATTTATTTATTTATTTATTTATTTAACTTTTTCTTTTTGTTCTTCCATTCTACATCTGGAAAAGGATCCCCAGGCTTGGGTGTGGTAGCACTTGCAAAAACACAGAAATTTTGTGAACATTGTGTCTGGTTGTAATTCTGGTTTCTTCAAGCCCGTTGACAGGGTTACAAGGCTGAGTGCGACTTACCCCACCTTGGTTTGCAAGATTTTTATGCTTTTAAGAAGTATTCATCTGAAGGGGTTTTGATTGTGCTTCTGAATGTATGCTATTACTCATACAAAAAAGCTGCTTGCATAAAACATGGCTTTGTCTTCATGTCCTGAAACAGCCGAATTATGGAAACCAGCAGTATGGACCAAATAGCCAGTTTCCAAACCAGCCTGGTCAGTACCCCACTCCCAACCCTCCGAGACCCCTCACATCTCCCAACTATCCTGGACAGAGGATGCCAAGCCAGCAAAACACAGGGCAGTACCCTCCTCCAACAGTCAACATGGGACAGTATTACAAGGTAGGAATTCTGAGATAATTACCTTGTTCTGTTCTGGTGGCCATTTATTAATGAAGTCACATTAATGGTTTCATAGATACTGCTTTTATGTAGTTAAAAGAAAAAGAGAAAAACACTGAATTTTTACTAGTGTTTTGGGTATCAGAGAATCAAGTTATCAGCTAAGTTGCATTGCAACTTCAGAGCAGTTCATAAAGAAAATTGAATGTTGCTGCAGCTCATTAGAGGCTTTTACAAGAAAATGTTGGGTTTGCTTTAAAAATAGCTTGTAAAAAGAAGTACCTAATGGGATTCAGGTGTAGTGTTTTCACCTATTCATGGTCCCCTGCAAGAATGCAACTATGGAAATTTGTAATAAACAAGTTCCACATTGCAGTTTTGGACCTACAGTGGTCACTGTTGCATTAAGCCAGGCCAAACTTAAAAGGTGTTCCAGCTGTAGGTTTCATCTTTGAGCTGAAGTTTCTGTGACTTTTTCCAACCTCTTCCTCCCTTTTTCTCAGTCTTTTCCCTCTGTGCTGCTTGTTTTGGGCCAGATTAGAGTTATTAAAATATTGCTTAAAAAAAAACTGTTTATGGATACATCTTGAGCACTTTGTATTCTCCAAACTGAGGTTGCACTGAGGGCCTGCCGAGGTTTACCACCTTTGAAATGCACACAAAAGTGATCTATTGCACACAGGTACTCCAGTGAGTATAAAAATGGGGAGGACCATTGATCTTCTGACCTGCTTAAAGCATTAGCTGTTGAAGTATATGGACTACATTCTGAATTTGAATGTAGGCTGAAAGAATCTAAGTTGCACATTGTTGTTGAATTGGAATTGTTTGGTGTGATTTACACAAAAAATACAATTTAAAAAAGAGGGAAAGCAAAACCTTTATCTGTAGAGCATCTGTTCTGTGTGCAACTATGATGTCCACTGTGGTACCCAAAGGAATGCCTGTTGGATTATGGCAGCTTTTGCAGTTCACTGTCAGGAAGAACATGAGGAGCAGGCAGCTCCTCTATATAATAATTCCAGTGCAGTCACTTATGCTAAAGTGACTGCAGAAGATTTCTGTCAAGTTTTTAAGTGACAGATTTTTAAATATCTTTTATGTACATTTATTTCAGATGAGGTTTAAGTTTTTTGTTTGCCAGATACTTCTGACAGGGAATTTGTTTCTTTACAATGGATCCCCTATATTGTATTCAAATATTGACTGCTCTGGAAACAGGAAAAAAGAGATCTTGTTAAAAAGGCAGATTATCCTGGTTAGTGGGAAAATTCCACAGGCGAAACCTGAACCTTTGAATTGTAATAATTGTGCAAATAGTAACTGTGTGTGTCAAATATAAAAACCAAAGATATTTGGAAGCGTGAATATTTAAGATTTGAGAAGGCACCCCTCTTCTTATGTACTCTCAAGTATCTTAGGTTAGCAGAGCAGCATTTAGATACAGAATCAGATTTGAAGTCACAGTGCTTGGGCTGTCTGTAAAAATATTCATCTTCTGACACTCTCCTGTATTTCTGTTTATGGTACATGAGCTAAGCACTTGGAGTTTTGTTTAATGTCACCTTCCTTCACATTAGGGTTATTTGTTTATTCTATAACCATCTCCTTAATTATAAGAAACTAAACCAAAGGTGTTTTAACATATAGCTGTTATTCATGTTTAGCTGTCCTTTTTCTATCAGTTCAACTTAGCTAGCAGCAAACTAGGAGCAGAATCAAATTCTAGGTGTACAGAAAAAAAACCATACCCTGACCTCCAGAACTGTAATTCTGAGTAGAGGAGTTGAACAAGGGTGCAAGAAAGGATAGATGCAAGTAAAAAGGACACAGAGTGGTTAATTGTGTGTCTTTGGAAATTTTTTTTTTTTTTTTTTATAGGCTTGTGTGCACTGAGGTATTTTGGGAGGGATACAAAGGGCTGGGTGGGCTGTGGTGTAGTGGAAAAACTGAAGCAGATAGCTGGTTGGTTTTGGAAGGACAGCATTCAGAGGAATACAGTAAACCTTTTGGCAGCCTTGCTTGTATCTGGCCATTGCCTGAGTTAAGCTGGCTGGTCTGCTGGTTTCAGTTCCTGCTTTGCTCTCCTGGTGTGCCTCTTCCCTGAAGGCCTCATGGGGCATCCTGTGGTTACTTCTCCAGAAACAGAGGAGCCTCCCTCTCTTGTCTGTTGTCTTTGGTATCTGATAATAGTGCTGTTCACAAGGCTTATTGTTCTTATTTCAAGGCTGCAATAACAATTTGATGTTATTTATTTTCTAGCCATCAAGGCCTGTACCTGTGGCAAATTACCCTCATTCACCTGTTCCAGGAAACCCCACGCCACCCATGACACCAGGGAGCAATATTCCTCCATACCTGTCACCTAACCAGGATGTCAAACCACCATTCCCACCTGACATTAAACCAAATATCAATGCTTTACCACCACCTCCAAGTGAGTAACAAACAGAATGCCCCCACAGTCATTTATTGGTGCTCTGTTCTCTGCCACATTCATTTCAGAGTCTGGAAAGCAGCTCTGATTGCTGCTCTGGGACAGGCTGGAGTTGTTAAGTTGTAGTAGGTGGCATGCACAGTGTAGGCTCACTTGAGCCAGTGGACAGAATAGAGAAAGACTGCTGTGGTCTTCTAAAATAGAATATCAAAAAAGTTCTCCCAGGTTAAACTTGTAAGGATTTTACTCCAGAATTATTCCTTTCATGTGCTTCCTGAGGAGAAAACACTTGATTCTGGGTTTTGTTGTGTGTGCTTTGTAGGCTTGTTTATTGTACGAACTTACATTCAGTCTGTTTTGTTCAAGGGCAAAGCTATTCATTGAACAACACTGCAGAGCAGGATAAAACGTGAATATTTATAGCAGTGTCTCTATTGTGATCCATACAGACTTCTTAGGAATATTCAGTACTGTGCCAGAAATTGATATATGTTCCTTTCAAAGCCACTCAACGTCACAGCTACACTTGGCTGGGAACAGGGCAGGAATAACAAGATCTTTCTGACTGGATACTAGCATGAGATGTTTGAGGTTTTGAAGTGACTGATGAACAGTAGGAGCTATCATTTACTAGGGAGCTGGGAGAACCTTATGTTTTCTATAAAATAACTGCAGCTGCATTAGCACTTCGCAGCTCTGGAGTTCAGGATAGCTGAAAAATCAAGTAGAAGAAGATGGGCAAGAAAACAGGATTTAAAGCCATTTGGACTTCATAGATCAGCTGTAAGTTACCTCAAAATCTAATCTTATGGGTTCAGATAGTAATTGAATACCAGTGTCTTTGGTCATCACATAGTTTCAGCTGATGAAACTGTTGAAACTAATTGGTAACGTTGATCCCTGTTCAAAGCAGAGAAAACAAACATTATTACAGTTTGACATAGGAGATTTTTTTCAGTCTTCTGTTAACAGAGTAAGCTTGGACACAGAGCCTATCCTGTAGTAAAAACCAAGAATTCTTGCCATGCCTGGTTTCAGTCGGTGGCTGAAAAGCTATGGCCCTAATGTGAAGTGGGTGACAATAGAAGGCTGCTGTGCCGTTGCTATCAGTTTGAACCTTGTCACTTGTATCAGTTAGATGATAGAAGTACTTTTGTTTGTATTTTTTTGTTGTATGAGCCTGCTAAGTTAAGCCCACTATCAGATCACTGTGCAATTTGTCACTATTCGCTATAAATATACACATTATTATTGCACTGCAGATGCTAAAGGGAAAGTTCACGCTTTCTCTCCCTCTTCGATCCCAGCCAACCACAACGATGAGCTGCGCCTGACGTTCCCTGTCAGGGACGGGGTTGTCCTGGAGCCCTTCCGGCTGGAGCACAACCTGGCCGTCAGCAACCACGTCTTTCACCTTCGGCCCACCGTGCACCAGACCCTGATGTGGAGGTAAGCTCAGCCCTGCTGCAAGTGAGCCATGCATCCCCCGAGGGAGGAGGGGCACAGGCACTGCGTTTAGATCTGCCAGGAGTTTCACTTCCAAAATTGTGGCCTGGATAGGAAGAATGTCCTTTCAACTCGCAGGTACTCTCGCCTGTCATTTTCCAGAGACAACACGTTCAAAAATGCTTCACAATATGCATTGCATGTCCTTGCTGATGGCTCATAGCATGCAGTGTCTGAAAAATTGCTGCGACAATTGCATCCTTTCTGCTCTGACCCACACCACTACAAACTTCCATTTGGGAATCTGAAGTCCTAGGTTCTTTGTGACCTCTGAAATGTTAAATGCAAGAGTAGCTCTGCAGGGCCCTCAGAGTTTATGCTTAAATTAAATAGTGGAGTGTTTTCTGATAATGAAGAATAACCCACTAAGAGTAAGGACCCGATTTAGAGGCTTGGTAAAATCATTTAGAAAGTGCTTAAATCCTCCAAACTTCAGAAGCTAACTTCCTAAATCCCCCTGTTCTCTGACTCCACAAGTAAGCACAGCTCAGAAATGTGAGAGCATAGCTTTCTTCATACAAAGGCTTCTGGTTTTCACTTACAGTCAGTTCTTATTTCCAGCACAGAGGTATATTTTTCCTTGGTGATACTTCCCTGTATTTAATGTAGATTTGTATAAGTGATTCTAGGATATGTTTTGATTGCACCATGTTCATGGAAGGGCCTTAGATCAAATGACAATCAGAGCCTTGATTTTTTTTAAATTTATATATTTTCAAATACTACCGAACAATTTTGTCTCCTTGTTTGTTTTTCTCAGAAAGTGTCTCTGCGTTTATCCTGGCTGAGCCAGGATAAACATTGCATTGTCTGAGCCTTTCTGTGTGAGCTGTGGAGGCTGATTAGTTGCTTGGGATCTTGTATGGAGGTTGCTTACGGGTGTAGCTTCAGGTTTTGGTTTTTTTTCTTGTGAGGATCTTCATCCCATTCACTGGGTTCCACTGGAGACTTGTGTTGTCCTGGTGTGGAGAGTGTGAGGTGGGCAGAGCGATGTGCTCGCTTCCCTGGCCCAGGACAGACTCTGGCTCTGACACCGAGGTGTGATGCAGGATGCAGGAGTCCTTGCTACCACATTGCCCCTGTGCCCTGAGGGAGCCTGGGGGTTGGGAGGGAGGGAGATTGCAGGCAGACCACATCCAATAATTAACACCTAACTCTGAGGTCAGTTATTGCTTACTTGCATTTCATTATCGTGGAGTACTCGCAGCACGGGGAGTTTTGGCAGTTATTTGCCAGTTCTTATTAATAAGTAATCACTACTGGGGATTGTGCTGGCTCATTCAGTAGATTTATAGTGCTGCACTGAGGCATGAGGCTGTTTCTTAATATCTGTTCTTTCTTTCTTCCTTCGCTCACCAAACACATAGCCTTTATTTAAACTTATTTTAATGAAGACTCATAGGTAAACTGTGCTCAGGTCTGCTGTTTTGAAAAGCCTGTTAATAGTGGGGGGAACGGATAGTCCTGTAATGAAGTCATTTCACATTAAGCTCGGGGCTGGATGGATGCCAGAAAAATGAATTAGTCACATGTGTGGATGGATTTTGGTTTTTATAGAGAATGGTGGAACCGAGCCAATTCTCAATATTTTTCTGCCAGTTAAAATATTTGGCAAAACCTCTCACGTGTACACACATAAATGAATAGCAATGCAAGTATGTTTCTCCCCATGGGAACTTTTCATGGTTACGAGAAGCAGAAAGGTTGAAGGCAGGGAAAATGTCTCCTTGAAGCTGGTTCACTCTCCACACTGCTGTGTTGTTAATCATGTCCCATGGTGGAGACATTGTGTGCAATGAGAGCACGAGGCTCTCCTGAGCTCTGTCACCTCTGTGACACTCAGCAGGCTGCTCACCTCCTCTGCTTGGGTCATACAGCAGAGGTACCAAGGCTTGCTTCCCTCCAGGTCTGGATCACTGTGTTGTGCTCTCTTGAGGTGAGAAACTGAGTGGAACTTGCAGAGTCAGCTTTCAGAAAATGGTTATTGCAATACTGAAAACAAGCCTGAAAAGACTTCATGTAGATGGCTTATGTTGAAAGGCCGTGTACTTTGTATTCTGTAACTTTCTTTTTAAAAATACAAGTTTGTGTCCACTGCTAAATCTTGATATTTTGGAATCCAGAAAAGATGATGTTGAATCAGATTGAAGTCTTTGTAAGGAAAATGGCAATTAGGGTGTTAATCTCCTGAATGAGCTGCTCCTCTTGGATTTTACAAAGATACCTTCTTTCAGGCAACTTAGATTGTTCAGGAACGTAGATTTTAAAGTTTGCACAATAAACTTTGAGCTGTCTTTTGCTGTCATAAAGAGCAGAATTCTGACATTTCAGTTCAATTTTCTGTGTTCTTTTAAATTTCTTCTTGAAATTACTCACTCCTAGCACAAGGTTAACATACATTTATGAAATTAAAGTCATAGTCTCTACCCACTTAATTTTTAATTAATCTCAGCCTTTTAATTTTTTGAAGGTGTTACAGAACTAATTTCTGAGGAGCTAAATAATGAGTGGAAGTTATAGGGTAGGTGGGAGGAATTCATGCCCTGAAAGAAGGTCTGAATTGGATAGATTTAGTCCACAGCCATGTTAATTTACAATCACAGAAACTGATTTTGGTGGGGGTTGAGATATACAGGAGCCATTTTATCTTAGTTGATTTACTTGTTCTAAGGCAGGATTAGCTGTATTTGTATTTTGTCTGACATGCATTAATTCAAATGCTTCTTTGAGTGCTTTGAGATAGTGAAGAATCCAGACTTCCAGCACAACCCACTGCCACATATTGCTTTCTCATTCTTAACTCCTAACACAGGAAGGACCTACCTGATGTTGACATTCTTCTTTCTGCAGGATCACTCCATGATCTGGGTTTTCAAAGAGCTTTGAGATGTTTCCTTGAAAAGTCTTTTATAAGTGTAAAATATAAACAACTTGCAACCTTGCATCATTAATTCATCATGACTTGCTTCTGTTCAGGGCTTTTATGAAGGAAGCGAGTTATGTTCTTAATGGCAATAATTCAAGAAAAATAATCTGATCGATCAAGACAAATGTTCCTAGCATAAAAACCGCCTCCCTCTGCAGTGTGAAAGCAAAGTTAAAGGAAGATTTATTGGTTGTTGTGCAGGTCTGACTTGGAATTGCAGTTTAAGTGCTATCACCATGAAGACAGACAAATGAACACAAACTGGCCAGCTTCAGTCCAGGTCAGCGTTAATGCAACCCCACTTACCATCGAACGTGGTGACAACAAGACATCTCATAAACCCCTGCACCTAAAGCACGTGTGCCAGCCAGGGAGAAACACCATTCAGATCACAGTCACAGCGTGCTGCTGCGTAAGTACACCCGGCTCACGGCTGCAGCTGCTGACGCTGACTCTGCTATTTAGAGCAGTTTGCAAATGTTGCTAGCTGAAAGAGCCTTACTCTCATTTTTTTCCATGCCTTTTTCTGGTAAGGTTTTTACTTAATGATGTTGACACAGTCAGAGTGCTAATATGGAAATTTTTGCTGCTTAGTTGTTGCAGAATATAGTGGTGTCCTTCCAATGTCTCTGACAAGGTTCATGATCTAGGGGAGGAAGGGAGTTTTATCTCCTACCTTCTCATGTGTGCCTCTGTAACAAGGTGGCTGAAGTCTGTTGGTGTAGAAGTAGATTACTGCAATGAAGACTGTTGATGGTACTAATTTCATTTACACAGTGTATTAGACGGTCTTTGGTTTGTCGTGAAAACATCAACATTGGTGCTGGTGATAAATTTTCAGATACCTTTTCAGATGAAAATCTCATATTCAAAGATGCAATCTAGACCATTCAGCTTTCCCCTTTCTCCTTTTCCATGGGTTATTTACTCTCAGGGATGAGTGCTGTTTTTTTAATGCAGACCATTCTGCAAATCCAGTCTGAGCTTCTGACTGTTCTCTTGTCACTGACAATAAAGCAAGCTGCTAGCTCTCACAAGGTCACAGTGTGAGGCACTTTGACAAGAAGCCATCCACCCATTTTTCTTTACTTCACATGGATGTTTCCCTGCATAATGCCATTTATCTGGTGGCAAAGAGCTCTGTGTTGGGTAAGAAGATTCAGCTGATTCCAGGCACATCAGTTGCAAATTGTTTTCACAACTTCCAGTGTAGTCTGAAGTCAGGCAGGTAGGCTAGGCTGTGACAGTCCAGGGTTTTAAAAATAAAGCCTGATGTCAGAGATTAATATGTCAGCTGTATGTATACTGAATATTAAGGAGGGAGAAAATGCAGAAAATCCTTGCTTTTTTAAAGTTTTTCTATACGTTAAGCATGGAGCAACTGCACAGTGTGCAGTATATCCATAAGGGAGTGTGTGCTCAGCAGAGCAGAGCCAGCTTTTATGTTTAAGCCTTGAGCTCTCACAGAAACCAAGTGTCCAAGGGAAGAGTGCAGCTCAGTTTGGGAGTGCATTTAAACTCCCAGACATTTCACATGTGTGTTGGGTTCTCTTCCTAACAAAAGGTGTTTCCTTGCAGTCTCACTTGTTCGTGCTGCAGTTGGTGCACCGGCCATCGGTTCGCTCCGTACTTCAAGGTCTGCTAAAGAAACGCCTCCTCCCAGCAGAACACTGTATCACTAAGAGTGAGTTTGCATTTTGTGTGGGTGATGATTTTCCAGAATGTCTGTGATCAGTTATGATAAGCTATCTCTACACCAGATTTACTTGTTTACTGATAACTTTAAGCTGTATTTAAGGAATTTTCAGAACATGATGTGGATAGATGAATAGCTATTTGGGTGGAGGCTTCAAAGTTTCAAGGACACAAGCTTAGTTCCTAAAGAGGACTGTCCTATTCCAGAAGAACTTCTCTGGCTTTTCCCCCATATTTGTTTTTGACTCACCAATAAGGAAAGATTAATTCTTTATTTATCTAGGGCTGCTTTTGATGCTTGTATGACACTTAATCTGATTAAGAATATACCTGATATTCATGGTGTGATGGTTTTTCTGTTCAGGAGAATGTTATAATTTACACAGAAGACACCTGTGTGGGTATATTGTTCATTCAGTTGTCCCTTAAATATGGAATAAATTTCTGCTTTCTGTGTTAGAACTTACAATACACTTGTGCTTTCTCACATCTATACCCACCTTCTTCCTAAACAGTCAAGAGGAACTTCAGCAGCGTAGCAGCTTCCTCTGGCAATGCAACACTAAATGGGGAAGATGGAGTCGAGCAGACTGCTATTAAAGTGTCACTCAAGTGTCCAATCACATTCCGGAGGATCCAGCTCCCGGCCAGGGGTCACGACTGCAAGCACGTACAAGTGAGTGGTGCCAGTGCCTGGCAGGATTCCCTCAGCCACGTGTTGGTGCAGTACCTTCAGCCTGGTTCTCCTGTGGGAGCACCTAATTCATGGCATTTATGTCTGTAAGCCTCAATGGTTAACTGCGTATGTGTAATGTAGAGGAGAAAAGTAAGCTCTTTGGTTCAGTTTTCAGTGCTAGGAGGCTTTTTTCATGTCAGTTTTACTTTTTGTCTAACTGCTTCATTTAATACAGTATTTACCTTTTGTTTTGTCTGGTTTGTTTTTTTCCTTTTTTGTTTTTTTTTCTGATACCTAGTGCTTTGATCTGGAATCTTACTTGCAACTGAACTGTGAAAGAGGAACTTGGAGGTGTCCAGTATGCAAGTAAGTGCATCCATACTACATAAAGTGCAGTTGTACACAATTTGACCAAATTCAGATCATATTTAAGATCATGAAAGGGAGAAGAATGAAGTTCTACAAAATAAGGTTATATATCACATTTACTTTAAGAGCATAAAGTCCAATGAGAATTCCTGCAATATTTTACTGCCCTGGATTATTAGAAATTTAAAAACATAACATGATATTTTCTCACAAGATTTTATTGCAGATCATCAATGGGTTGTGTAAGGTTCAAAAGAGGCTCAAATATTTACATTGATAAGATAGATATCTACAATCCAGAATAAGGGTAATTTTTTTTAAAAAAGTAAAAAATTTCCAAGGAGCAAAAGCTGGAGTTGTTGCTTAGAGGAAAAGAGGGATGGATACCTTGTTATAATTTCAAGCTAATATTTTGACCAGTGAGTTAGTGTACTGCAGAAAAAATGGAAGAAAAACTTGCAAGTGGTTACAGACTGTCCATCCTTGTCTTTAACTGGGCAGAAAAGCCAGCAGAATGTCTGCAGGTCAGTTCAGAGTGTGTAACCTGCTGTGCTCAGCACACAGGAGCCAGGGCTCTTCAGCTCCAGCAGCTGTGGCTGTAACAGCTGGGCCTGGGTCTGCACAAGTCTCCAGCTGGATCCTTGCTCTGCCAGCCAGTGTTAGGTACAACCAGAGGGGATTGCCCATTCTGGCTGTTCTAAGGACATGGCAGGATGGAGATGAGCTTGTTTCCATTACTGTCCATGGTTGATCCATGTCCTAACACACAAGTGCTTTCTCCAAACTGCCCAAATATTTTCTATCTTCTACGTTTGGCTAAAAATACCACGAGAGTTGGGTATCTTGCCTTCTTAACTCATGTATTCATGCATCCAGCCTAAATTTTTGTCCTGTGTCTCTGAGCATGAGCACCTGCATTCAGATCTAAGTGCCTACATAGCTAAATCATTTCCAGTTTTGTTTTGTTCTGTCCCCATCTGTGCTGATCTTAAGTAGAATAGCTGTAATGCTTAGTTGCTTTGGAGCCATTGTACTGTGAAGCTCAAAAAAAGAGGAAGATCTAATTTACAAAAATAGTGCTAACTGATATTCACAGGAGAGATTGGCTGTGTTTGAAAATACTTTAAATTTGCAATGTATTTCACTAACAAAATTTACTTGAAGAATGTGAACAGCTTGTGGACACACACAAGTGTATGTTATCTATTTGATGTAAATATCCTGGTAATGTAGATGTAGAACTAAAACTGTTTCCCCAAACCATTCTGTCCTAGCAATATTCTAACATGAAGTTTGCTTTTTTTTTTTTTTTTTTTTTTTTTTTTTTTTTTTTACCTTTTAGTAAAACTGCTCTCTTGGAGGGCTTGGAAGTTGACCAGTATATGTGGGGTATTCTGAATGCTATACAAAAGTAAGTGATCACCGTCCTGATATCCAAGACTAAGCAACTAGGAGTTATGGTAATGAGTACTGAGATAATCCCACCAAAATAGATCTTGGTGATTGAACTTGAATATTCTATTGCATGGCGCCTTGGGGGAACCAAGTGAATCGTTTCCATCTTCTTTGTAGATATTTTTTGGGTTATCTCTTAATGGCAGAGGGAAGAGCCAGAATGGAGGATTAAATGCTTTCTTATATTTACAAGCAGTCCCTCTGATTCAGAGCTGGCAAACCACATTGATATGTTTGGATTTCATTGTGTGGATAAACAAAGAAATATGCTCTTATGGTTGCCTTTTTTAAATTTGCTTTCTTTTTTTTACTCTTGAAGAGTAAAAGATCTTACTGTTGTATTACACCAGAACATTTCAGAAGATTGGTTACCAAGCAGATTCTTATGGAAACTTCAATAGAATTGATTTTTAAAAATTCAACTTATATCCTAAATTTTCACATTATTTTACAGCTCCGAGTTTGAAGAAGTTACCATTGATCCAACTTGCAGTTGGAGGCCGGTCCCTATAAAGTCAGATATTCACATCAAAGATGACCCAGATGGCATTCCCTCAAAAAGATTTAAGACAATGAGTCCAAGCCAGATGATCATGCCAAATGTAATGGAGATGATTGCAGCTTTGGGTCCTGGCCCATCACCTTACCCATCCCTACCTCCTCCTCCAGGAGGCAACAACTCCACTGAATATGGTAACCAAGGTTAGTTCCATGCCTTTGTGCACCCAGCAGCTCACTCTAGCCCTCAGTGGTTCAGCCAGCCTTGTGAGACAGGTGTGTCAGTGCATCTTCTCAGAGTGATGCATGGGACAGCAAATGGTGTGGCTGCAATTCTGAAATTCTGCCCAAGTCTTTTCAGTTAAGGTTCATCTGTTCAAAAGAGTGTATATTTTAGTAAGTATTATATTTGAGTAACATATTGTAGTATTTAGTTATTTTGTTTAATATTTTAAGTATTTGGTGCCTGTCATATTCATAGTCACGCAGCCCTCCCTGAATCAAGAAACATTGTATGTTGCTTTCTATATTCATGGCCTGCCACAATAGACATATTTCTGCATTTTTTTTTTCTGTGCATTTTCCTTCTGTTCCACTCTCGAGTGAAAACATTTATTACTACGTAAGTAGAAAACCTGACCCATTGACCCTGCTACTTGGGCCGCTAGGTTAGCTTGTGGCCAGGTAAGTGACATTCCATAGGCCACCAGAAAAGGGACAACTTATAAAGAGCTGCTTTGTAAACACCTTTGCATTAGAAAATTACTTTTGAGTTCCTCTGCCCATGTGCTACCAGATTGAGGAACAGGGAACTAAATGCAGGCAATGGAGATAGATTTTCAAATTACTGGTATGTTGTGAATAACTCAATTATAGTGACAATTCTGAAAACATGAAACCAGAGACTGTTTCTTTTACAAGTAACATGATATGAGTCAGTTCAGCTCTGGGAAAAGACCAACTGTTCACACTATCAGAATCCCCAAATTGATTACAAGGTGATACATGTGCTTTTTGCAGGCGTTGAAGAAAAATATAGATTGCGTGCAAAATACGGTTAATTTGCTCCAGTGACTGCAAAACTGATGACAGATGATAAAACTTACAAGGTTTTCAAACAGATGAATGATTACTATAACAAAGCCAAGAGCACTGAATCACATTTTTTTCCCTCATTTAGTAGGAGTGAAGTGCAGTCAGAGCCTGAGAACAGAGCTATTCCTCACCATATTTCCAGCTCATACTCAGGAGCAGACAGGATAGCCACGTCACACGTGGGGTTTAGGCTTTGTTGTGAGCATGGCTGCCTAGACTGTTATTTTGCTGCCTTCCCTACAGGTCCTGCAGCAGAGGTAGTGCCTGCTCCTTGGAGCCCTGAGTCCCCACTGGCAGGTGAAACCCACGCTCTCCTATTTGCCCTGCAACAGGGATGTCAGCACAGTGTGCCAGATTATCCTAAATGTCTGACAGGTCACTCACTCAGCACTTGGCACTGCTCTTGCTGCAGAGAGGGGTTTGCTGCTGCATGGCTGTAACTCCCTGGGCATGGTGCCTTTATCTTTATTCTCCATCAATATGTGCGCTGAAACTTAGTGATTGCAATTACATAATGTCCTCTGATTAACAGTTCTTTAGAGCAATGTAGTAGTAGTATTACTACTGTGGTGTATGTTTGTTTATTTGGGTTTGACAGGAAGCATACGGAAGTTTAATTTGCAAACATAAGAAATATTCAGTACTACAGGACCACATTCCAGCTGTGTGTTAATTAATTATTCTTGATGCAAGGCAAGACCAGCTATGTTCTGTGAGACTCATCCAGTTTGCAGATTAACAAAATGAGAATTAGTAAGGCTCTGCAGTATTTACATGATAGATCAAAGTCCTGACATCTTTGAGAAGTACTCTTACATGGCTAATGACTACTATTCCTCCAAGATTAAACTTCTGCTTGTGAAGCTGTGCTAAAGAGCAAATGAAGCAACTACTTCAGTTTGTCAAACTCCCTTCTTGAGCTGAATATTTAAAACTACTCTACTTCTACTGACAAATTTCAGGCTCTCTGTGCAAGCTCCAAAGCTATGCTGTTATTTCAGAGCTCAGTATCATGCAGTTCAGTTGTTTGTATTAAATAGGTGAATGGTTTTAGTTCACCTTTTGCTGTTCATGGCAAATAAGCCACTAGAGCTGATATCTGAGTTGGAAATGTTAAGAGAGGAATCTTGACAAAAATTATGAAGAGTGAAATCCCTGTATTGGGATACCTGCTTGCTTTAGAATTCAGAAGATCCCTGGACTGAGGTGGGCTGGATCCCTATGGACAGTGGTCATACAGTAGTTGTCCTGCAGAGCAGCAGGGGACTCCAGGCCTGCTTCAAGATGTGTGTGTAAATCCAGTCAGTCAAGTGAATTTTATAAATTTTCTGGGAGCCCTAATTAGATATGAACACCTCTTCTATGCCTTTTATGAAGGGATAGAGTAGAGGCTGTGTTATGAACTCATTGTGGCATCTTTCATCAGAAGCTGAAGCAATGCTACAGTCTTATTGAGTGTATAGAAGCACAGCCACAAATAACACAGGTGTCCTATAAATAATCTGGGACTTGGGCAGTGAGATGCTTCCAGATGCTTGGCAGACTGAGATGCTTCCAGATACGAATATCCCATAGAATTTGATATCCTGTTTACTTCTCGGCATGGTTAAGTTTATGTGGTGACTTGGCAATAGTTTTTCAAAATGCCAGCAGTTTTCAATTAGTTCCAGCACATAAATGAATTACTGAAGCAGCCAGTGTTTGGAAGCCAAGTGCCCTGTCCCCACTCGCTCAGCAGTGGGGCACAGCTTTGTCAATTCAGTGTCACAGCTCCCTGTGCTGTGCAGGGAGGGCGTCACATCACACAGCTCCTGCAAGATACTGGGAGAGATCAACACTGGAAACAAATCACATCTGTTTCTCTTTCAGGCAACAGTTACCAAGGTCATGGCAATTTTGACTTCCCGCATGGGAATCCTGGTGGCACATCTATGAATGACTTCATGCATGGGCCACAGCTGTCACATCCCCCAGACATGCCGAGCAGCATGGCAGCTCTCGACAAACCTCTCAGTCACCCCATGCAGGAATCTGTAAGTAATGGTGCTGGGCACGTAGATTCTCATTTGTGGGGGTAAGGAACTCTCATCCAGCTGATGGACTTACCTTATGAACTCCTTTGACTTTTTGTGGTTTCCTCACTTGGGAAGCTGGAGAAATAGAGTAGTTTTGAGAAATGCCAGAAGTGCCAATTTTTAGTTTCTGACCATTTTGAGTTTTTAGAAAAGCATTTCTGCACTTTTTGAATTGTCATTTAAGCTTGTTTATCTGAAAGAAAGAACCTGGCTCAGTGTGCTTGTATTAATCATTGTGCTTTGCTCTGACACATGAAAAAAAATGTACTTCATTCTCTAGGCCAGCAGGACTGTGAATATCCATCTCCAAGAGACAGCTTGTTAAAGCAAGATATTGGATGACTTCAGAGCAGGGACAATATCTTCCCTGGCTTTTTCTCTGAGGGCAAAATTTGCATCAAAGCATTTTGAGGGGGAATACTACTCGAGAAGCATGAAAGGCACTTTTAAACTTCTGGTAATAGGACAAGTTTGCAGATTTCAAGGAGAGACACTGCCAGTGGTCTGAAAAGATCAATGTAAGAGACTGAAAAGTAGAGGTCCCTCAGGTTTCAAATGAGGCAGAACTGTGTATTGGAAAAGCAGCTTGCTCAGAGCACTGAGTTTTCTATACATAACTTTATATATCTCCAGAAAATGCAGTACTGCAGCAACTAGGTGGTAGAAAAGCTACCAGCAGCATTTAGCTCTCAGGCATGGTTAGTTATCTATTTTAACTCTGTGTGTGGGGTGTGTATACATCCTTTTTTGTTCATTTAAGTTGCAGAGCAGGGGGTTTAAAGTGTGCTGTAACTGCACAGGAAGGATGTTTAACTTGACAAGTCGTATGTGCTGTGTCTTTAGTGAATCCTAGAAAGCACAATTTCAGAATGTAATGAGGAAACATGGTAGCAGATGCTCAGCAAAAGCCTACTCAGTCAATGTCTGCTCTAGCTGGCAGTGGGTTTTCCAAGGAGGATGGTGAGAAATTGAAGAGAGTGGAGGAAGAGTTCTTGTATGGTTTGGAAAGAGTCCAGGTACCAAGACTGTCTGCAAAGGAAGAGTCCAGAAACTGTAATGACTTTACCACTTTACAGGCTTATAAAGGAGGACAAACATGCTGCAAACATAGTTTTTGCATTGGCAAATTCTGCATATACAGCACCGAGTGGTCAGAATTCTCTGCACAAGAATCAACCACACAGTAGTGAGAAGAAATGGGTGAACCAGCCTGAACCACTCACAGCTTCTTTCCTTCAAACCAAAGTCACAGGGAGTTATTCTTCGCTTCCCATTATCGGGCACCTACCTCTTGACTTCATCAGCCATACCTTTGCTGTGGTAGTTGCCCTGGTGAAATTTCTAAAGTGGTAGGATGTGAAGTAATTGAATATAAAAGTGAAGAATTTGTAGCTTTTGGAAAATGGGACTGTTTATATATAGCAGAGGTGGAAGTTTCTCAAAGCTATGCACATTCCAGAGCTGTGGGAGTGTATCTAAGCAAATGTTAATGGACTTCCAGTTCTGTGGGCCAATCTGTAGTACATAATACTTGCTTATGGTAGCTGGCAATTAAAGTAAACCTTTGCCTCACTTCCCCCTCATCTATCATGATACTCAAGCAATACCATTTGGGAATAGGGAGCAGTGCTAAAGCAGATTCCTACATTATGTCAGTGGCTGGTTTTCAGTAATGAGGATCAGTTTTCAGGTCTTTTAGCAGAGGAGAATTAGATTAACCTTGTCAATATGGCTGTGCAGTTTTCAGTCCACATTTGAGATCTCTTAGTGCTCCCACACAGCCTTTTCAGTGTTACAAAATCTCTGCTTTCCTCTTTATTTCTTATTGTCTCTCTTTTGTTCTTTTCTCTCAAAATTAACTGTTTGTCTGTAGCAGACACTCAAGAAAGGCATCTTTAAAATCACTGCCTTTAGAGAAATACATGCCTTTAACACATTCCTAAATTGTGTAGTTGCATGTCTTTGAGGAGACGCTTCATACAAAAACAACTACAAACAAATTGTGTGATTGAACCAAGGTTTTAAGATATTGCCTTATGTTCTTCTCTGGCTTTGTCTTTCCTTTTACACAGTTAGCAGCTTTTTGTAGTTGCACATACTATTCACTTTGGTCATTTACAAGGTGAGCTGGGATTGGATGTTCTGTCCCTTTAGACCTGAGGTCTCTCTTACTGGAGCTGAATGCTGCTGAGGAAGTTCCTAGCAGTCCTGTTTTGAAGATGTATGTGGTGGCCCTTACACAGTGGTAGGCAGAGAAAGTTGATCCCTCCAGACATACCCTGTAGGTCACTCCAGGAAATTTGCTCAGTATATTTAGGGCTGGGTAACCAGGGATGGATCAATCAGAATTTCCTTCCCTTAACACTGCTGTTCCACTCCTATAGAAGAAGAAAAAAATCAGGACCTGAAACGTGACCAGAAGACCTCTTCCCCAGCATAGAGTGTTTTCAGAGCTGTGGAACAGATACCACAACAGTGCAAGATTGCTACAGAACAGCTGCCACAATCATGGCAGCTCCTGTTTGCTTTCAGAAGTTGTAACCACATTTTAGACAATGGAGAATTCAGTTAGCTCTAGTTTAGTGCCTCTTGCACACAGTATAAGGAGTGACTGAGCAATGGATGATGGCACCATAGGTTTATACACACAGGGAGGTGATATGAGCTGGTACTACTGTAAAAAGTCATTGCTCTTGTTTCTATTTTCACTTTTCCTTCCCCTCACACGTGCAAAAGTGTTACTGCAGCCAGATCATGAAGTGATCTGTACCCAGGTACTGATGTGACTGGAAACTAATTCAGGGGCAGGATGGGGAGATTGAGTGCATATCTACAAGGTTTCACCTTGCAAACATGGCAAACAGGTGGATGGGAAAAGTGACCAAGAACATCAGCAGGGTAGGCAGGATGGCATCTTTTAACAGTTTTGGTAGCTAACAGCAAAAGAGTTGGTAAAACTGTGACCCTGGTATTGGAGAGAAATATAAACCATTGACTTAACCTGGTGATTTTTTTATCACTAATAATTTTCTCCAGAAACAGAAAGAATATTGCTGTGTAGTGGCAGGCCCTATTACTCCACAGCTGTACATCTCAGCACTCCTAGAGGTCACTGTTGGGCTGTAGAGTCATGTTGCTCTGTGCTATTAAGCTGAAGATGTAGTTGTCTGCTATAATCTTTTCTTTTATAGACTGTAAATGCTTTAAGAGTGCCAAAGCTTATGCCACTAAAAACAACTCTGGAATTATCTTAATGTGCAAGCAAAGGAACTTTGTTACACTCTGCATTCATAGTGAGGGTCAGTGCTTTCAGAATAAAATGGTGGGAGTTGCAGGTGCAAGTTAAACATACGCAAAGTGTGTTGCTTACAATGTGTCTGCACCATAGCAAACTTATCATCAGTTAGCTGATGCAAACAGAAAATATTCCAATTCTAAGCATTTCGCTTTTTCACTGAGGGGCTGGTGGTGTCAGTGGCCTAAGTCAGATGGATTTGGAATCTGCGATGCCTCTTCAAAGAATATGATTGCCCTCAGGCTTACAATAAACAATTGGTCCCTATACACCCATTGTCTAAGTACCCAAGTGACTGTGTTATCAATGAAATACATATTTAAATCTTTGCCTGTACAAACACAGTGTAGAATTTATAACCTACTTATTTGTTTTGAAATCTGTCTGAGAGCATATGAATGCCTCTCCTGGTTAAAATAATTATTTATATACACATGTCAGCATGACCCTTGCTTTATGCATTCAGGGATAAATTTAAGACATTCTTCAATATAATGCTGTCTGGTTTTGGTTTATTCCAGAAACTGGTTTCCCATGTTAACAACACTATCATAAATTGCTTTTTATTTTTTGTTGTTATTATTAAGCTTTCTAATTTCCACACTTCCTGTTGCACGTGTCCTCAATGAGTGAGGAAGGAAACAGTACTATTAAGACAGACATCTACTTATACTTAGACTCCTGCAAAGTTTTTGGGCTGCAAATTCTTTTACATAAAAGTGCAATCTGTGGGCAGATTTTGTACAAATTTTCCCCTACAGTAACAAGAGTGTTGGAGAATGTTTTTCAAGAAGTCAGACTACGACCCCAATGGAGAAATGTGTATCAGTACTTTTTACCATTTACTTTAAACTCTCCTATGAGATAGAGAGCCAAATACCATGCAGGTAGAAAAATTTCCACAAACCTTCATAATACCGAAGTATTGAAAAGGACCTCCATGCAGCTTAGTGTGACTGTCCCAATGGATCAGTATTCAAGTTTCAGTTTTCCTAAACGTAGTGAAAAGTATTTTAAAAAATACTTGTTTCTCTATTTTTTTTTTAATGGGAACATTTTAATTAAGTTTTGTAATAACCTTCCTTTTGCTTTCCAAAACTGAAAGCTGAGGTTAAGATAGCTTAGCAGTTTATGTGATATGCAAGGGTGAATACTGACATAACATTTTGCTGGTTTCTGTTGGCTTGGCTGGATGAATTTCATGCTGTTGTTGAATGTATTTGTTCTTTTATTTCAGCTTCACTTTGTCCAGTATGTAGCATTCCTCAGAAAATGTTTACATTTTTTGTTTCTCCATATACCAAATTAACATGAGAGATCTGATTCTGAAACATTCAGACACATCTTTCTTGTGGCACCAAGGTCAAGCCCCAGAGAACCCACTAGCATTAGATGTGACAGAAAGGAAGCAGAAGGAAGAATTTTACTTGTGCATTTTATTGCTTCTCCGTCATGTGAGAAAAGCTTTTCCCCCATTCAGTAATGTGGATTGGTAGTTTATTCCCCGCAGAAAGCATAAAAAACATCAAGCTCTTGTCAGACGACTCATCAGCAGCATGAATACAAAGCAGAGTGTGATTGTTGGCTTAGTTGAAGTTAAGGCAGTGTACTTTGCAGTCAGCAGGTGTGCAGCCACCCACACCAGCTTGGCTCATGGTGGGGAATGTGCTTCCTGAGCTGCCTTGGTTCTGTCAAAACCTGGAATATCAGCAAGGAAAACCTTCAGCCTTTAGCAGGGGTGTTGCATTCTGAGAAGAAAAGGAGGAAAGGAGCTGGTGTTTGCAAGATGTTTGTAAAGAGCTGAGACAGGGATAAGCTGCAGTGTCAGGAAGCTCCTGAACAGGGGAGCTGAGCAGAAATGATGCATTTTCTTGGTTAATGAGTTTCCTGGCATAGGGATCATTCAACAAATTCTCTGTTCATTCATAACATTTTTTAGGGCAAAAGCATCTGCCTTGCTAATGCTGAGCAGCGCCCATAAACCTTCTTCCCTCCTCTTTGTGGTGCATTGTTTTGCATCTTCATACACAGTTTTCCACATTACAAGGAAGCAAACCAACAGCACAAGTTCAATGTGTTTTTTCCCCTTGCAGACAACCTTCAAAGAGCTGAAACACTTCCTCCAGCATTGGGATATGGAGTTTCCTTTTCCATTGGCGCTTTTTTTTCTGTTGTTGTTGTTGTTTGTTGATTGGTTTTGCTGGGGTTTTTTGTTGTGTGTGTCATTTTTTAATTTATTTTGTTTTCTAACATGCAGTTACAGAGTCAGGCACCGCGAGCACTGTACCTTGTGGCCTCACTTTCTTTTCCTGCTTTTTTCCTCCTCCGCAGATCCCTCATCCCGGCAGCACTGATCAGTCCCATACTTCCATGCAGCAAGGTTTGCACGTCCCTCACCCCAGCAGCCAGTCAGGGCAGCCATTACATCACAGCGGGCCTCCTACCCAGCAGTCCCGGCAGCCGCCCCCGGCCGCTTCTAGCAACCATCCACACAGTGACCTGACCTTTAACCCCTCCTCAGCCTTAGAGGGTCAGGCTGGTGGACAGGGAGCACCCGACATGCCGGAGCCCTCGCTGGATGTAAGTCTGTGTCATACTCTCATCTGCCTGCCATGGCGTGCGCTTCGCATCGCGCGGGAGGGCGGGGCGGGCAGGGGACGGGACCCGCTTCCACAGCACATGCCATCCTCATGCTTTGGTACATGGGCGCAGGTGCTGCAGCCAAGGTGACAGGGCACTCCTGACCTGCTGGGAGGACGGATGGTTCTGCTTGGAGCAGCTGCGTGGTGTGCGAACCATAAGCCTCTTCCTAGCACCAAGGCAGGCATCTCTTCAGGCGGCAGCTCAGGCGCCAGGCTGGGAGCCATCTCCTCCTTTCCCAGCTCGGCGCTGGTCGGGCTGTGCTCTCCTAGACCCTGAAGCTGTTGCAGTGCCTGGATAGAAGGAGGGACAGAGCTGTGTGTGGTTCTGACTGTGGCGTTGCTGTGCCAAGTGAGCTCTGCGCTGAGCCCTGCGGCACGTCCTGGCCAGCGGGAGCGGGATCTGTGCTCCCCACCCACACTGTGGCACTGTCCCCGCTCCCTGCAGCCAGAAACAGCCTGTGCCCTTCCATACCTGCTCTTGTGGGTGGCTCAGCAGCATAAGTTCCTCCTCCCAGTACACCACACAGGGAAGTAAACAGCAAGGACATATTCTGCCTCCTTAGACATCATGGGAGGCAGCTCACAACTAAATGAAGTCTAGTTTTAAGGCCAAAAGTAGTGTTCCATCTCTTAACATAGATTCAGTGGAGTTGGAAGTGACTTACTTGAGGTATATCTCTCTGGTTAGCCATCTACCTCCCAAAATATAAATCCTCAGCGCTAGGATTGGATTTTTTGTTTGAGTCATGCATTCCTGTTTGTGTATCTTCTGTCTGTTCCAAAGTCTGCTGCTGCACAGTTAATTTCCTTAGAGATATGTTCGCTTCTGTGCCTTGGATTTATATCTGTATTTGCTGTTGCTGTATACTTGCATCTCCCCTGTCATGCAGGAGCACTGGGCTGGCAGGCAGCCTCACAGGGGAGGGAAGGGGTTAGGGGACAGATGGAGGCTCCAGGATGCTGCAGAACAGTGACCAGTGAGGCAACTTCTGCCGTTTCACACAATATGGTTGTGTGCACATCCTTTGGGAACAATAGTTCACGTGGTAGTTGAAATTCTGAACCCTTAAGGACCCTGTCTGAGCAATACTGAAAGGTGAAATTAAAATGTCTTTTTTTTTCTTTTAATATTTAAGAAACATACAGTATTTTGTTATGGATCAGGCACCCATTCCTTGGTGAGAGGTAAAGTACAAAACTCTGTACACTTACCACAGGACTGTGGTTATCGCTGATGAAGGATTGCTGGATTCTTAACAGGAGGCAAGTGCTGTACAGTGTGGGAACTATAGTAAACTTACTGGAAATTCCTGTGAATCTGATCAGATTTTAGTGGGTGTGTTGTGGAACCTGGCTGAATATGCAGCAAAACAAACAGGGCACTGTACTGTTGGCAACTTGGCCCACTCCCTACTGACACAGTCACGGTCATTCTGCAGGAATTCAGTGAGATGCAGTCTGAAGTTTAACCTGGGTTAAAGAATCCACCTCATATGGATGCAGGCACAGACAGGAGAGATGGGTGCTTGTGACAGCAGAGGCTCAAGACTGAAATAACTCTCAATTTGCACTTCAGGAGCACAGTACACTTCTCCAAACTCTACTGTAAATCTGGCACATTCCTGTAGCTTCTCTCCCCATCACCCCCTCACAGGCCTTGGCACTCCTCTCTCTTCTGTCCCTGCTCCAGCACAGCACTCTCAGTTCCCAGCAAGTCCTGACTGAGGTCTCTGCTTTTCACACCAGTGGGGCAGGAGGCCAGCTGTGCTGCCTGACCCCTCTGACTGTGGGAAGCTGAGGTCACCCTGACGACTCAGAAGACTTCAACTTCACAGACTGAACTTCACAGACTGAACTTCACATACTAATGTTTAAAACTTCCACTCTTAAACTTTTAAAAAAATCCCCGATATACAAGAATGAGTCTCATAGACAATTTAAATTTTTAAGAACAAGTTGTAAAATTGCAGGACAAATTCAATAACTTTTTTTATTTCTCCACACTTGGTGGGGCTGCCATTTTCTTTTGGACTTTTTTTTCTTTTTTGATTTTTTATGATATACTCGTAAAAAAATTATGATAGTAGGTGAAGCACATTTAAAAATCTCATAACTCCGTACAATGACAATAGCATTTTTACCATGAATAAAATGAGGTGGTAGCTTAAGAAGATTCCTTCTGGGAGATTCTGTTTATGTAAACTTCACATTGCATTATTTCAAAATGCTTAGAAAGCAATCAAATTTGTTTGGCATTTCATGTTTAGCTTATTGAAAAATTTGTTTATCCATATAATGTTAGAAAATGAAGTTTAATTTGCACAAGAGTAATAGAAGCATATAGATTCAGTATTTATTTGTTAAATTGAAGTGGTCAGGCTTTTGGTTTTATAATATTTGAAAACATAGAACAACTTAAAATTAATTTCTTGTACCTAAGTTTGTTAAAACAGTCCATATTTTTCTGTATTTAAAACAATGCAGAACATAAAAGGCCTTTATTACAAACTGTTCCTTGCCATTTTTTATATATGACACTTTTATATTTGCCTAGGAAAGGGCAAGATGCATTATAAAGCAGAAAACATTGCCTGATGTACAAACCAGGAGTTATGATGTGCTTGTCATCTGTCAGATCAAAAAGAATGTGTTGTGATGGTTTGAAAAACAAAATTTTATAACTGGAATACAGTATTAATGGAAATACAAATTGAAGTCCCATAGCTATTTGTTTTCTTGAAAGCACTGTGCAGATTAGGTCATCTTCTGTCGGATAGAGTGTTACACCTGTGACCCTTTAAAATGTCTGGAATTGCATGTAATGCTGTAGTCAAGTAAGTACTTCCAAGCACTGTAAACTCCTGCCACAGAAAGGAGAAGGACTCACCCACCTGCCTTGCCACTTCTCTATCCATACTCCTCCTCAATTTTTTTTTTTTTTCCACTTCCCCTGATTTGTTGATTGCTTTAACCCTTGGTGAGTTTCTTGCTTCAGGTCACTGTCCCAGAGCTTAGGTCAGTGCACTGAGGAGTTCTGAGGGTGAGGAAAGGCCAGGGCTGCCTCCTTCTGTAGGGTTGCCAGCTTTGGGTGGCCATCAAAGTGATGTGTGAGAGCCAGACCAGCCTTTGCCCATCTACCTTAAGGCTCAAATATGCATTACTCAAAGTGCATGTTTCAAATGTTTATGCAGTGTTTTCTAGGAAGCATCCATAATGAGCATTTATCTGTAAGTTTTTGTCAGCATCACGAGCCAGGCAATATGATGGGGAGGTGGATTGAGAAACCCTAACTGAGATGATAATGTAATTCACAGGTAAAAACTGAGTCATAGAGCCTTTCACAGGCAATTGGATACTGCATCATCTGAGGGTGTTAGGCTTGTGACGCTGCCTTCTGTTGTATTTGGATATATTGTTATGAAAACCAGATTCCAGGAATGTGTGGTGTTTAATCCCTTTCTTTTCTCAATTGTGTTTCTGTTATCTGCAATTTTTATTTTATCTTTGTATTTTATAGCTGCTTCCAGAACTCACAAATCCAGATGAGCTGCTTTCATACCTGGATCCTCCTGATTTGCCAAGCAATAGCAATGATGACCTTCTGTCTCTCTTTGAGAACAACTGAAACCATATGTATTCTCTCATCCTTTTCACTTGTTCACACGTGTGTGGCTGCACAGCGAGGAATCATAACACTCCTTTTCCACAAGAGAAGAAAAAAAACCTCACAACTTGATCCAATGGTGCACTCCCTGCTTTCTTCATCTCAGAACTGCTTTTGTTAGCTTCAAAGACTGCGAAAGCGACGGGAGAAAATAATGCAAAAGTTAAATAAATGCAGTAATCTCCGAGTCTGCCATGCTACATGTGACAAAGAAGCATAGACAGTTGTGCAGCTATTGGAAACCCCATTTGGTGTTCATCCTCTAGAGAGAGAGTTCTGTGATAAACATAGTGTGAAGTATCTTGGCAAAACCGAATCTTGGCAAGGGAAGAAAAATCAACAGAATGGAACTGTCTTTAACTGACCCGTCTCAGAGTGTCTTTACAATGCTTGTTCTTCCATTTTTTTGAAACTGTATCTCCCTCTACCCCACCTCTCCTCTGCCCCCCTCCAGCCGTGGGTTTGCCTTGGAATTATTGTCCTGGCCACACAGAAAATGAAAAAAAAACCACCTACAAAGCTCAAAAAAGCACAAATCCTACAGTCAAGTGGCAAAGCTAGGGAAGACACACAGGCCTGTCAGAGGGAGCAGCAGTTTAGCTAATGCGACTTCAGTCCTGAGATCTTCAGGCCGCAGCCGTGGGTGTCAGGATTTCTGCAAGCACAGGGATCTTTACCATGTCTTTGCAGAGCATTCCTCTGGCCCAGCACACAGATTGGAAGCACCCAGGAAATTTTTTTTTAAAGTTTGCAATGTTTAGGGATTTTTGTGATTTGGTTTCAAATCAGTACGATTTCTGACTGTGTTAACATCCAGCTGTAGAGATTGCTGTAATAGATCTTTTTGCCATGTATGCCATACATAATGGAAAAGAGAGGGAGGGGGGATGCAAACCAAACTGTTCTTGATTATTACCTACAGCCTTCGGTGCCCCCAGAGTTTGTGTCACTGTCTGTACTGCACAATGCATAGTAAGACAAGCTGGGTTTGAAGGCAGCGAGGAAATCATTGCAGGATGGAGGGAGAGTAACATCATTTTCTGCATAATTATTTTTAATAATCAGCTTGAGAAGGGGCATTGACATTGGACAGACGTCTTACAGCTTCATTTTAGTTTTGCTTTGCTTTCTGTTTTCGTGACTGTTACAGATACTCCCGCCTTTTTCTTTTCTTCTCCTTCAGTTTCTTTTTTTAAACTTTGGCTGCTGGGATGAGCTCTTCTGAAGGACCGAGTGCGGGGAGAATAAGTACCTGTCAGTAGATTGCTACTGCCCTCAAGAGACCCTGCTGCCATAATTACTGTCTTGCCCCTGTGATCTTTGCTTCTCGTGTGGTTGCTGCTCCTGCATGAGCTTCCTATTGCTTCTGTGCCCATTTCTGTGCTCTTTGTCTCTCTCTCACTCTTATAAATGATGTACAGTAGCTGTGTAAGAAGTGCATGTGTGCCAACTTTGCCCTCGTGGTGCAACATTTCAGCTTTTCCCCACTGTACAGTTACTGGTTTTGTTCCTTTTGATACTAAAGCATATTTGACCCTACTCCTTTTCCTCTTCCCAAATGCAATCAAATGCCCTTCATTTGCTCGCCACAATGCGTTTTAAACTGAAGTGCCAGGCAAAATTTTGTTTGTTTCTGTCAGTTTGACTAGATAGCTTCCTAGCCCTCTGTGTTTAGTTTGCAGTGCTGTAAATGGCATGCTCTGTGCTTACGACTCTGGGTTTGCTTTCCTCACCAAAGTCATATTTGTAAATTCTCTGCATTTTTTGTTTTATTTTGCTCTTTTTGTTAATGTTTCCCACTACTGCTGTACATGCATTGTGGTATATATATGCTAGTCAGCAGCACCTTGCTGTAGATATTAAAGGAAATGGCGGTTTAGTTCTTTTATTTTCCAGTAGGAGTATTGAATCTGTCAAACGTATTATGTAGAAATGGTCCCACACTTATATTTTTCCTCTTTCAAGTTTTTTTAAGAAAGGCGCTGTTCATTATGCAAAATCAATTATTTTAAGAATTGCTATTGTAAATATCTTTGTGAATATTTTAGTATCGTCTTTGATAATATTCAACATTTTCATGACCTGGTTATACTTTTGCTGGTGTTTTTAAATACCTTGTCTGAAGAAAAATATGGGTCCTTTTTTAAAAAAGAAAATTGAGGGTTCTTTAACAGAATAAGGGAGTTGGGTTTTGGGTTTTTCCCCCCCTGTTTTCTTTCGGTAAGTTAGCCCAAATTTCATATCCATTTATACGATGAATGAATTGATACATCAGGCAGTACCTGGATAATCAGGGCCCAGCTCTGTCATGAAAACATAATTGTGTTTGCCTAGGGAAAAAGTGATTGCCTAGGGAAACAGTAACCCCAACTGATCAACCAGTGCTCATTAACTGTGGGTGATCGTGAGCTGGTAATGGCAGAGTTTGTTCATTTGCCCAAGTGAGCAGAACACGTAGGACCAGCTGTCTGACCAGGTAAAGATGCACTAAGGGAAGCAGCAAATCTGTATGGTACCGTATTTATATCGGTGTACTGGTGCTCCAGTCTCTGAAACTGGGGCAAAGACACTTAGGGATGTTGGTGGGTGGGGGAGGGAAACAGTATAGTATATTTTATTCTGCTTAGAAGTGTCTTTTTTCTTATGTAGGCTTGACAACCTGTAGAGGATCTTTGCAGAATATTAAAGATACCTTGGTGTAATACATGGTAATATGGTTGTGGTGTGGTGCTGCTATCACACAGTTCCTAGGAAAGACCATTGTTCAGTTACTGATACGGATGTGTTGTGTAGCCATTTTGCTGTAGTAGTTTCCCCCTGTTTTATTGCTGCATTTTTTTATATAGGTCTGGAAGTCATGTGCAGAGGTGGCTAATGTTAAACTGACTTTATGCCCTTAGTGTTAGTTTTTTTTCTGTTTGGGGGGGGGGGCAAGTTCCTTAAGCCATAGGTTTGGGAATAAAGAAAATTTCTCACTATTAGTTGGAACTGGTTGCTCTGATTTTTTAAATTGATTCTATTTCATGTTTCATTCTCCACTGATTCCTGAGCAGCTAAGTTAGTCACCTAAAATTAATTTTCTCTTAAACACAATATTAGTATTTTAAGCCAGGTATGTTAAGGATTGACCTTTTGCTAACTTCTAGTATTTAAAATGTATGATTTAAAAGTACCTGTTGGAAAGCATAAAGGGAAAAAAAGCCCCATAGATATTTGCAATATGTTTGGAGCAGTGTTGGCATCTGCTTTGTACAGTAATAGATGATTAAAGCAGACAGTTGACATCTTTAAACTTACAGAAATATTTGGTTTCTAAGTAGAACTTAAAAGAAAGTACAGTTTTTACCCATCACCCAAATGTTGGACATTTGAGACAATTTTAAAATTTATCTGTCACCTAAAATCAGGTACTGTATAGTGAAGTCAATATGAAAAAGCTTCTGAAAATTTAGTTATTTTTTTATCTGTTCACTGCCATACTAAAGTTTAGAGGAAAAAACCTAGCAAATAGGGTAATCACAGTCATTTCTTTTAAAGCTTAATTATTATATGAGATTCCAGTAGTATTTTTCTTCTTTTTTTTTTGTTTTTTTGTTTTTTTTGTTTGTTTGTTTGTTTACCTTTTAATCGTTTCCCTATGGAAGTTCATCTGGGAAAGAACCCACAGAGATCTACAGTTCTGCTGCCAAGACATTATTATAGGACTGACAGTACACGCCAGTGTCTGCAGCGGAGACTCAAGGGACAGCTGTACATATGTAAATGACAAATAGAGACATGTTAACAGAAATGCATTCATTTTCCTTGGAATGTGCATTGTTTTTATTTCGCAGGAAAAAAAAAAGCTTGAAGCTCCATCTTATGTGGAAAATGAATCCTGTTTGTTAGCGTTTGTGGAGTCTCAGCATTTGTTCCACTTTCACTTCTGTAATATACTCTGATCCTTTGTTTTGTTTTGTTTTATCTACATGTAATATTTAGCTTATGTGTACTAGTCTATCACCTGTGTATTTTTAGGGTGCTACAGAAATAATGAAGAAAATACGGGGATTAAAAAAAATTAAAAAAAAATTGTAACCAAATTCATACTTTGTACAATTTTTGATATCACGATCAGAGGAGAATTAAAAAAAAAAAAGTACAATCTGAGGTAACATGCAAAAATGGCCATTGTCTTTGTTTGTACATTGTATGTACAGTACAATGCAATCATTTCATACTTTAAACTGGTCAGAAAAAATAATTGTGATTTTTAGTCTTGCAAAACTGTATGTAGTTAGATGATGTGACAACCTAATATTTATCTAATAAATATGTATTCAGATGAAACCTGTATATTAGGTGTTCATGTGGTTATTTTGTATTTAAAGATCAAATTATTTGACTATTGCTAGACATTTATATACTCTGTTGTAACACTGAAGTATTCTCATTTGTTCATGTTAAATTTTTTTTTCCTAAATAAATTTGCAAAATTAAGGTCTGAATAATTGGCAGCTGATTTGTAAATTTTGAGTTTCATTTTGAAACCATGAACTTCCCTTTTGTCCTCCCTGGTTTGAGTTAATGTGGAAGTCAGTTGCATGAGGTGTACCTTTTAATCAGAGCAGGATTTGTTGCAGGAAGGGAAAGGTGGGAATCACCTTGGAGACCAAAGAGAAAAAAAGATTATGAATGCAAATATGGGATCACACAGAAAAAAGTCCCTGCCAAGCAAGGCATTAATAACTTGTTGTTCTGTGTGCAGGGCACTGCCTCTCTCCCAAACAAGTAATAATTACTTTGAAATTAAATCTTAATGTGATATGAATAACAGGAAAGGATGGCTTCTCTCTGGAATTGGCACATGTGGAGATATTAAACATCCAGCACCTTTGTTTAAAATTCTTCCAAATTTGATAGTTTTCTTTCAGTTGGAATCTGTCATTAAAGTGAAATTAGACAATTTTTTTCTTAATGCATCTCCATCTTAAAATTGAAGCATTTGGTTTCTAAATGCATTCTTTGAGTTATGAATCTGCTTAATTTCCCTACCTGTTCATCTGTAAGCAGGCTGAATGGTGACACAGGGAGTACACACAGGAGATCATCAACACACAGAGGTCCTGTCCTGCTGGAGTTCTGCACCAAATGGAGCCAGATACCACTCACTGCATCTGAGAACTTGGTTTAACAGATCTACTGAGTACCTCTGTATTTGCAGATGGCATTTCTGAAGGCATTTAGGCAGAACCCACCTTTGAAATACATTCAAATACCTGGGAACAACCATTTCACAATATGAGTATCTGTGCAAGCACATATGGCAATTATTCCATACCTCCACAAGGGCACTAGTCTTCATTGTTGATTGAGATACACACAAGTGTGTGTGTGTGTAAATATATATGTATGTATGTATAAATCTAGACTAGGGATTTATTTTCTCAAAATTGGGAAAAATCATTTGTTTGTGACTCTGAATTTGTTCCTTCCTTGGCAGCACTGCCCATTCCAGTGGTTTTTTTTTTAGGATAACATAATAAAACCAAGTTACAGTGTACACTGTAGTGAATCAAAAAGTATTTATCCATCTCAGCCCATAATTAATAACTATTTTGGTTTTGGTATTCTGTTTCCCTGGAAGCTCCCCAGAAGTGTCAACAAGACATAGTGCAAACTGACTTTGGCACTGTAGAGCTGGAGGAAAGCTCGTGATGTCCCTAAGCACTGTACATTTTTCAAGCTTATTTTGAAGTCTGCAGAGGCTGAAACAATCCTGAAAGTGGTATTTCTCCCAGATGTTACCTAAGGACCCCAGGATAGGTAAGATGTGTGTATACAGTTGATGCTGGTGTCTGCCATGTCCTGGCAGTGTGTCCTGTGTGCCATGCACTCTTCATGTGCTTCCAGAGAGCCACCTACACGAGTATCTGTGACTCCTCTGTTAACCCACGTGCTAATCAATTGTTGAACTACTTCAGAACAAGCTTATCTCCCTGTATTTCTTCTCTGCTCCTCCTCATCAGTATGATCTCTGATTCATGTTGTTTTGTTTGTGCACATTGTATTCTGTTGCCATGCACTCGACCATGCTTTTCACAGGAGTAACATTGAAAACAATTAGAAACATGGAAGGGGGACAGACCTATTGTCTTTTTTCTGCTTGCACAATGGAGATAGGAGTCCTGTGCATAGAGCTGTTTGTTTTTATTTAAGGTAACCTAGTCAGCATATAAAACAGCTGTACAGGTCTCACCTCATAGTCTATATATAATTCTTTAATTTGTTATCCTTCTCTGTTTCCCTTTAAAATTAAAGAATGTGTTTTTTACATTTGTGTACCTAGTCTTATATTTTTTTATGTAATTAACCGGAACTGACTTCTCTTTTATCTGCTTAAATTCCACATCTGTACAAATCTTCCTGCATTCATAAAGGTTCAAGTCAAGAACCTTTCTTTTTTACATTTTTAATTATTACCAGTGTGTCACCTTATTACAGCTTTCCACTTTGTGTCGCTGAAATCCTACTGACTCTTATGTAGGATATTGCTCCTAATGTCTGTCATTGCATCAATGCACTACTCATATTTATTCTGTCTAAAAAGAACACAGGATTTTTCTTGTCTCAGACAGACCACTGAAAACTTCTGCTGAGATATCTTGTTTCCATCAGTCTACAGAATTTTCCAGGGGAATATAAAAGTGGCCCCCAAGGAACCTAATCAATGATGCAATTTTGTTTGCAAAGCGAGCAGACAGCAATTAGGTCACAGCTCGTGCAGGCATTAGCAGACAGCATGGCCCAGGTGGGCTGACAGGTTGGTTTGCCACGTGGTTCATCCACATTTCCAGATACTCCTTGCCTAGACCATAATTGGTTTCCTACAATTTAAATATAGCCTTCTGTAAAATCCTTCCCTTTCATGGACTAGATGAGATAAGGTTCTTTCCCCTGTCAGTTGAATATGTCTGCTTGGTTTATACAGTATCTTTCCAAATCCTGACCTCACTGTACTTTTTGATAGATCCAGTTACACAGCAAAGTTAATGCTAATATTTACCACTCCTAAATACATTGGCTTCTCTGCACCTTTTTGGGTTTATTAGACATCCTAAGAGGTAGATTTAGGATTATCAATTCTGGTTTTCCCCTACATCAGAGTTATTTTTAATTGACCTTCCAGTTTGTCCACAGCTGTTTCATGATACTGGTTGTTTTAGATATTGCTAAAAATATTCTGGCACATTTAATTTGTCACCTTGGTCTCATATGAACACATTGATTATTGTGAACACAGAGAGGTTATTAATTTTAAGAAATTTTAACTAGTTAAACAGTAGAACAAGATAATTTTTTTGATATTTTGGTTTGCAAAAACAATTGAAATTCCCCATATTTGTTTCATAAATGCTGGAGTTGAAGTCTGAGTGTGTTTTTATGCATATTAAATTTATTCAATTTTTTTATATTTCAAAATGATAATCAGTGCTCCCTTTCCTTACTTCTGTGTTTCTCAGAATGTACATTTGTAAGACATGGAAAATCAGTGAATTTTACCCATTTACACATCTAGTGAGCTTCCTATGGCTGTAACACCCAGTTCTTAAAGTCATTCAGAATAAATTCCTTCACAAGAACTCCTATCAGTTTTCCTTTCCAAGTTACGAATGATGGGAAGAAGCGTGGCTTCCATATTGCCACTATCAAACTGATGGCAAAATGTGCAGAAATGCCACTGAATCAGAGAAGAGAATTTTTTACCCTTAGCTTCAAAATAATTCACCAAATGCTTCATTATCCAGCGATGATGTTCTTTGACTGTAAATGTTACACATGTAAATTTGCATCTGACAACGTGAGAGCTCAGCTGGTGGCACATGGTGTATTCAGGTGATGGTCACATGCAATTATGTCATACAAGTATGTCATAAGGTTCCACACTAACTCATGTAGTACTGAGTTACATGCTGAAAGTAAGCAGAACTTTCAGTAGGGAAATGGCAAAAATGCAGAAAGGAATCTGAGATTTCTGTGTGGTGAGGTTGCTTCCAGCAGAGTTGTTCATTACAGAATAACTGGTGGAATTTTTTTAGATTTGTTACATCTGTAAAGCTTTTAATGCCTAGGTGATTCTTGTTCAAACTGATGTTGTCTGACCATTTTTAGCTTCCAAGTGTAAAGTTCCACAACTAAAAAATATGTCTTAAAACAATGGTTTTTGCTAGAATTAGTTTAGAGCAGACAGGGTAATTTATCTTGTACAAAGTACAGAGGCAGCTGTTACCTCAAAGATATGCTATACAAAATGCATATTTTATCTATATTAAATGTAGGTATAAATCTGTATTTTATATATATATATATATATATATATATATATATTTATAGATTTGCAAACAAGACAAACTCAAGGAAAATCCAAGTCTTTACCAGGCAGCTGATTAAAGCTCCAGTCTCATCTTACTTATGCGACATAAAGTATCATGACTAACCAATTCTCAATATATTTCTGATACTATTCCCTAATTACTTTTCCTTGAACCAGAGGTGGTAAATTAGCTGAACTGATTCCTGGAAATGTCAAGTTGTGTTACAATTGAAATTTCTGTGGTTTTAAAGGTAGAAGGGCTCCTGTAACTCTTAATACTGTTTTTTAAGTATGCAGTATCTCCCCTACCCACAGATGAACCACCTATTGATGTCCTGAAGATTTGTGAGGCCACTGGGAGTAGTAGCTGCATTTTTCCTGGAACCTAAAACCAGGCATTTTAAATGTACTAAGTGCTTTGCCAGCCTGTTGTGATCTATCTGTTGGCAGCTGTTGTAGTGTATAGACAAACCTCTGGGATGCTGCAGGCCCTGGGCACTGCATGGAGGCACTGTGACACATCAGCAGCGGGTTGCCATGCATTATGCAGGGAGATTGAGTAATGAATTCCGGGCAAGCAATGTCACTCAGAAGTTCTGAAATGAAAATGCTAATCACAGCTGTAAAGAGCATGAGTGGATCGAGGCTTTCCTTGTATGACTATTTGTAGGTAATTAGAATGAAGTCATGTGGGGAAACTGCTCCTTTAAGTACAATGTGTGTTGAAGAGAATGCTCACGTAGTGAAGTGAGTTACTACAAGTTCCTAAGAGGAAACCTGGATCAGGGGAAATATTAGCATTTTTTCTTTTTATCCCTAAGTTTACTTATGTGGCCAGTCTATGCCCTTTGAGCTCTTGTATAGTTTAATTTCACACTGCAATCACTTAGTGTAATGAAGGTCTTTCACCATCTCCCCCATTCCAGTCCCCATTCATAAATAAATGCATATCACAGACACAAATCCCAGAGTTCTTTCCAGCTCTTCACTCATCTTCTAGCTCAGCCAAAACCTTGAAGAAAATACTAGGCTGAGTCTTTTCAAGTGCAATGTATCCAGGCTCTGCAGGTGCAGAGTGGGAATGCCCACTGCAAATTCCTGCTCTCCTCACTTAAAATCAAGCTAAGTACCTGT